GTCTCGTACGGATGGTCCATGAGCACGATCTCGTAGCCCATGCTCGCAATCTGCTGCACGGTGCCAGAATAGAAGCTCCGCGTAGTATTCAGACCTGTTCCAAACAGAATTTTCGGAAATTGTTTGGCCGGTGCCGTCTTTTCTACCTCGCAGCAGACCTCCAGCTGGAGTCCCAGAAGCATGTCGCCGGGGGATTCGACGATACCCTCCATATACGGGCCCAGAATCTCATCTTCGACCTTGGCCACCTCGGGCGTCATGTACGGCACATTGCACAACTTCTTGCAGTGTTCCTTGGGCACCGGCGTAAATCGCGTGATCATCATCCGACGAGCGTGGGTCGAATTGAAAGGGTCTTGTCGACTCTCGTCGACCAGTTCCGAGTGCTCCAAGCTCACATGAAATGGACCTCCTGGTGACGGGAAGACTTGGGCGACTGCGACCGAAACGGCTGCCGCCAATGCCACTGTCACATCATTCACTCTCATGATTGCCGTTAATATTATGTGGTATAAATTATGTGCCTAGATGGTTGAGTTAATGATGACGGGAAATCCCTTCCAAATTCTTTCTTTCATCGACGTGTATTTCTAGTAATATGGCCCATTCATTCCGCACCTGCCTAAACAGTTTATGGCCTTATGTATGTGCAGGTAAGACGGAGCCCAGGAACTTTTGAATCATGTTGATCGTTCCAATCCGGCGTTAACAATCACCCCTGTATCGTCTTCAGCCTTGGCATATTGCCTATGGAGAGAGAGCTCTCTTCAGGCGTTGTATGGTATTTTTATATACGAATCCCAAAAAAAAAAAAAAAAAAAAAATCCGCAATACAGTAATAGACTTTGAGCATAGGATCTGTTTCCATCACTATATTACTTACAAAGATATCCAGAGAATTCCGCGATATCTCTCAAAGCATGCAACCGAAGACGTCTTTGTCTTCATATTTTCTGTCACACCAATTTTGAGCTACCCTATACACCACATAGGTCTCATTGGCAGCTACAGCAAGACGTTCCCGTAACTGAAAGGATGTCAGAAATTTGTGAAAAATTATGTATAGAGTCATTATAAAAATGTGTTATTTCAATATTTGCTAGGGTTTTGAGGGATGTTCTATCAGAAGCTCTGTGTTAGAAAATTTCAGAAAGTTGTACTTCCTTTTGTTCAAAAAGTAAGCCATCCGCTTATCCCAGTTGCCCAATCTTTGGCCATCTCCGAACAAAATTAACCGAATGAACGGTTAGAATATTTCATCAATAATTATATTATAGGCATAGTTGGCCACGCTTCCAAACTTCAGCCTCTACCCTTTGCCCTATCCTCAAGGCTAAATCTACATGGCTGGATCAAGCTCCTCCGTCGGTGCGTGTAGGGGGTTCGGGACAATTAGACCCGCCAAATGTGTCGACCCACATTCCTTTGCTCTCTATTTGGTGCTGATTAATAATTCATGATGCGAAGATCTCATCACAACACAGCACCACGTCTGGGTTGTATCTCTACCGAATCGGTCATTTGGGAACTTCGCGCGAGAGCTTACTCTTTTCTATTGGATAAGACACGTGGGGATCCCTGCATATCGTTGTTATTATGCCGTCTAACGGGTGCTGGACATGCCGAGGTTCCTAAGTTCTAACCCATCATGATAACTCTGCCTGTGCTTTGCTAATCGATGGCAGATCGCAAAATCCGTTGTGACGAGGGTCGGCCTAAATGTCAGAAATGTGCCCAATCGAACAGAGAGTGCAGAGGCTATGGGCTTAAACTTTCCTGGCCGGGAGCAAAGAGCAAACGCTCTCTCATAGGGAATTCGTCTCGTGGATCTACAGCCAGAAAATCCCAGGGTTCCATCTTCCTACATACAGACTTTTTAGACATGGAGATCCACCAATTTCTTTCGAAATCTGCAGGGAGACAAGGTAGGTGATGGTTTATAAGCGTAATTCTAAGTAATTGGCAATACTAATGAGTTCTAGTACATGGTGAAAGCAACCGGGATCTGTTGTCACTCAATCGCCCTGTAACAATTCACTGGAAGCCCTTTCAACTTCGTAGCACGGAAATAGACCTCCTAACCTACTGTAAGCATATGGGGTTTCCGTTGTGCGGCAAGTATTAACATTGGCCAGTTGAGTCTGTCGCATCGAATACCCTGGCCACCTTTAATCAGACACGTTCAGAACTCTGCGGCCTTTTGTTTCGGCTGGCCCTTCTAGACACCACGTCATCTTCGAAATGTGTTCTATGGTCGATACTGGCTTTAGCTTCGTTGGATAGAAATGGTAATCAGTACCAAACAATGCAGCTGAAGCTGACCGCTGTTGCTCTCTTGAAGTCTACTTCGACAGATGGTATGGATGATGCCGAAGCAGTTCGACATATTGCCGCTGGCATGATCATGACTACATTTGAAGTATGCTGAAACCTATCTTAAAACTAGTAGTCTTTACTGACTATTTATCTAGATTCATTCTAATGAAGACCGTGACAGCCAATGGACTTGGTTCCTCTGCGGCTCTGGGCGGCTTATGCATCGCACTTTGCATGTTCTTGAAGCTCTCGGTAGTGACGGATCATTGCTACATGACTGGGCATCGTATCACGGTGCCATGACTGGTTTCACTCTCCGGCACTGGCGAAGAATGGCGCCGATCAGTACCTCTGTCGGCTCTGAAATGCCAGACACTCGGATGGTTAGACCTCCGCCAGTGTGCTCACCATCAACGCACAAGGTGAGTGTACGAAACTCAGCAGCACGTTACTCTATGGAGATTATGCCGCTGACACTCTCACAGAGCATGGGGTTACCTGAAAACTCCCACAACTTTCTGAAACTCGTCCGAGATATATTCCACAGCATTCTGCAGCCGTCTAACGTAGGATACCATGATCCAGCATACACCGAAACACTCAAGAACTGGGAGCATCGTGTCGCAAATTATGCAGTCAGCTACGTTAAAAACACGAAAACTGACAGGACTTCAATTCGCGGATGGGATGACAATTTCCAGCTTGAACTGTTCAAACTGGCTTTACTCATTTACATTGAAAGATCGGCTCGAAGCTCCTCAGGACAGTCGGAGAAAGTTACTTCATACACCCAACGAGGATTTGCTATATTGTCACAGATGAATTACTGCGAGCTGTCGTTCCCACTCTTTATTATAGGGAGTGAAGCGCAGTCCGACGAGGAGCGAACATTGATTCTGGGTCTTGTAAAGAGTGGTGATGCCAACCAATCCCACCCGCTTTCAAGGCTGGAATCAATGCTGCAAGCCGTATGGGCCCAGAATGATCTGGAGACAAACTATGAATTGGACTATACCATGAAGTTGGATACAGTGATGACTTCAAGCCCATGCCTGCCAAGCTTTGCATAACTAGCAATACAAGGTTGACAGCAATCAGTTTAGACCGATGCCTTCACGCTCTGAAGGATCGGATAACTCTCATATTTGCAAATAGACACAAAGTCAAGGGAGATGAATATGCTAAGACGAGTTCGTCACGAGTTCTGCACATTGAACATGACTTCCGGATCAACTGTAAGGAGCACAAGGAGAAAGAAGAAGAGGAAGAGAAAGTTTCTTGAGAGTGAAAAACAATGACAAAAAATTGAAGGAAAAGCAAAGAGGAATGTACTAAATAGCAGGGCCTGAGGAGAATATTTATTCAAAGCAACTCGCCACTTTCCATAGTCTGGGCCATTCATTCTATTGAACGGTTGATCTTATGATCAAGCCATAGTGGTCTAATTTTAAAGTACAGAATTAGACGATGGCCTGGATCGCAGATTCAAACGTTAAATGGTATGCTGATGAAGAAACTAAGAAGGAATGGAATTCTACCGACCAACTGGTTCCCAAACACCTGATTTGACTCGCTCGGTTTTAGATAGTGCCGTTTCTCATGTGGCTGAGTATTACTCATCTGAAAATGAAGTTTGGCTAAAGGATTGGCCGATGAGAATTAAGATCAGCCGCTTGTGTAAAGAGGGAAACCTTCTGTAGTCAGCTGGCTGATGTACGGTGATTCTCCCGGAAGCGGCCAATAGCTTCAACATCACCACCCGCATCGTCCGTGGATAAAGGCTCGTATAATGACATGAAATGTAATTTCTAAGCATGATCGCCGTTTAATATAGAGGAAGAACCCGATACGAGCAAATCTGACTTGAGAAATGGTACCCGGGCGTTCTAGTTGGATACACCCACCTGATGCGCGTTCCGCACTGGAATGTGAACGTGAAGAAGCCTCGATTCAAAGCTGAGATAAAGTTCAAGATGCTCGTCACAAAAGAGCTTGCCTGCTACCGCACAGATCGTGCGGTGGTTCTTTGTCCTTGCACCTCACCTAATTTCATAACCTTGATCCTCGACATTCATACCATGCATCATCATCGCTCACCGATGCTCTCAGTTCTCTAGCACGAATATTAACGCCGGCATCTCCGTTTACCCAACTATCGAGCAGGTGCAAGGGACGAGTGCAGGATGGAGGAGCGGGCTGAAGTCCCTGCCGCTGCCAGGGTTATGGGCTTGGTGGTCACGATGGTAGCACTTACGGTGATCTCTAATTTGTTCAGTACTGCCCCCGTGTTCGAGCCACTCTCAATACGCCGTACTAATTGCAAGAGTAGGTCGAAAAATATCCAGGATTAAGAATTGGAGAAACGTCCCATATGCAATATGGCGTAGGCGAGAGATCTACTTCCTTGAGAGATAAGCCCTGTCTAACAATGGCAATATGCAGTTACCTTGGCTTTATACGTGGACTCCTATCTCTTTGTTTTCGCTGTGGGAATCATGCAGCATGCCGTGGGAACGAACATGAGTCTGGAGGTTTGCAGCGCGGCTATACTGGTATGCCTTGGCTGCTACCTCTCTACGAAGGTAAACACCCAAAACAGGACCTCAAGTATACCTTAAAACTAACACAAATGAAGCTTGTAAGTGAAAAATTAGATAAAGACCCATAACTTTATTCACACCGAAATGCAGCTTCTATATCTATTCCTTACCGAGAGAGCTGTAAGCATTTCCTTTGAAATTAGACTGCGAAGAGTTTCGATGATATTGAAGGAATAAAGCTTACCATAAATCATAGCACATTGTACGAGGGATGATTAAAAGGCGGCTTGATAGCAAGTTGTACATATTCAACTTTGTTACCTTGACCCTGGGATACATTGGGATCTCCATTCTCCTCTATCTTCAGTATGTCCCTCTGTTTCCACGCCACATGACTAAAGGTTTGACCCATTGCTAGTCGCATTGCGAGATTCGATGACGGCCAGTGTGTCATCGGAAATGATAGATTAAGCATTATTCCATTTCTCGTCTTCGGCACCATTGTTGACATCTATCTGTCAATACTTTTTTTCATCCCTTTCAGAAGTTGGTGCACCTGAGCCCTCTTTCAAGCCGGAGCTGAGTCTAACTATCCTGGGTAGCGCTGTATCAGTTCAGAGATATCAATCCGACACCTGCAACAAAGAGACTCCGAGGAATCGCTCTTAGAAGCTTCATCGGGGGGTTTGCCGTCCTTACTACCAGTGTCGTGTATGTTCTTGTACCAATTCAGTTCTCAGCAATCCTGCGTTAGCCCAGAACCAGCTAAGCTAACTCCACCATTTGATAGCAATGGGTTGGTCATGATCATCATGGAAGGCCAGAAAGGCTGGGTTTGCCTCCTTCTATGCTGCATCGATCGTAAGTGGCAAAACACAATGGCTAAAAATTAGGGCTAATGCTTTAACCAGTTGTGTTCGCTTGTTGCATGGTCCACTGGATAACGATAAACGACGACTCGAAACCAAAGTCCTCAACCTTGGAGTCGACTTCGCTGGGGCCTTCGACTTTCACCTCTTGACATGAACTGCAATTAATACACATAAGAGTAAGGTAGGTGGCATTGTTTCCCGATAGTTTTTGTTTTTGAGCGTCAGAGAAAGTGAAGCATCAAAAGTAACTCACAGACTTGACTAGATACACCTTACGTAACGGTTGTAAAACTTACGAAGCTGCTTAAGTCGACTTTAAGATAGTCCTACCGATTGTTGATCTCACTAATACGGAGTGTTGTGGCCAAATCTGTACAATTCAAAGCCGAGATGTGCATAGCGTATACTGAAATTCTTGTAACCACGATAGCGCTACTTGATATTGAAGTTATAAGTTATTATTAAAATTTATTGGAAGACCAAAGCCGATTTTGCTATCATATCCACTTGACCTTATGCGGGAGTGGAAAGAAACATACAGTTGATGAGACGTTATACGCACTTCAGGCCAACTCATGCTATCGCTGTAGACCTTTATCAACTGTCTGAACCCTAAGGAAAAAAAAGAAGAAACTCTTCTCAGAAGGCAAAAGCCGGGAGAATTAGATTGAGAGATTAAGCTTTATGCGGCTTCACGTGCACTCCATTCTCACAAGTCGTCGCCAGAGCAAAGAGCTCCATCCATGGCTTGAAGTCCGTCGGCTCGAGCCTCTCATAAGCTTGAACTAGCCGCACAACTATATAGTAGGACTCCATAAGTGCCATTTGTTCTGCAGAGTGAGTTGTCAGCTTGAACTTCACGTAGATATTAGACTCGGGGACACTCACGTCCGATGCATACTCTCGGCCCACCGCTGAATGGCAAGAATGCCCAGCCCGGCCGCAACCCATCCCAGCGTTCTGGTCTGAATTCCTCCACATTGTTGCCGTAGACCGTGGGATCTCGATGCATCGAATAGACATGGTACAGAACAATTGTGCCACGCCTGACAAAGAGTGGCGAGCCGCCGTCTGGTCCGCCGCCGGCAGGTAGGACTGTGTCCTTGCTTGCCTCTCGAGCATTGGAGGGGATGACGGGATGAAGACGTAATGCTTGGAACCTTAATCAGCATGAAATTCAGGGCGAAGGAATAAAAAAATAACTCCACATGAGAGACTTACACTCATTAATACACCATCTAAGGTACTGCAATTCCCTTAATTGACTAAATTCTGGCACCGAATCACCCAATGCAGCCACGATCTCAGTTCTCAATTTGGCGTAAACGTCTGGCATCCGCGCAAGGACGAAGAAGAGATTACTCAGGAGGCTCGCTGTGGTATCTCGGCTGGCTAGAAGGATGTGCAACACTTGATCGCGAAGCATTTTGCGGTCTTTGATAGCACCGGACAGTTCTTGAAGAAGGTTGCTTTGTTTAACCTTTGAGTCACCGGTCTCCGTCCGCTTTAAACATTCCTCAATATAATGATCAATGTACTTGAATACCCTCGCCTTTGATTGATTGGCTGCAGAATTGAACCGAAGGAACTGGAGAGGACCAAGCGTCATCTTCCGAGCAGCCTCAGTGGAGCAAACCATGTAATCATCGACAAACTGTTGCGCACTCCCATCCGGATTATTGAGCATGTTCGTGGAATAGCCCATGAGGAATTCGGTAGCAACATCCATTGTGAGGCTAAAGAATAAAGGCTGTAGATCAAGAGAGCCGCCTTGGGACGAGATCTGACCAAGCATTGACTGAATGTGACGCTCTAGGATGTTTGATAAGCCATGTAGCCTCTCTTTCTTTAGAGCAGGCCTAAGGAGGGAACGAGCGTTAGACCATGAGTGCCCGTTGAGAGTAAAGATTCCCGGACCTAGTAGGTCACCCATAACAGAGACCCTCACAGCTGGGAGTTTGTAGTCATCGAAGCGGGTTGCCAGTAGGTGTTTGATATTTGCAACATCACAGGTATAGACAGTCTGTGTTGTCAACCGATTGACTGTGTAGGTGGAACCTAGGTGTCTATACATTTCCAAAGAGCCTTTTAGGTTCCTTGCAGGGGATCCTTGGAACAGGCGGTCATAGACAAAGTCGAGCCCGATGAAAGGGTCTCGAACAAATGCCTTCTTGCACGAAGCTTGGCACCCTTCTTGCTTCATTATCCTCCAGTAGAACGTATAGCGGATAGCTGCTTTTGCAACAAGAAAGATGAAAAGTATGATAACAACATCGGACCATCGCCCATACATTTGGAATATCGACATGGCAGTGAAGTGTAAGGGAGGATTTCAATACTGATGCAGAGATATCTAGTGGAGACTATGCACTCTAGAAAGGCTGTAGTCGTGGCGTTTATATACCCTCGGAATGATGATCGTAATGTCCGAATCGGCTGCCCAAGGCGCGTGATGCTTTCTATGCTATCTCTTCCATTGCCAGCAAGGCGGCCTTCGTCGCCTCCACCACTCTATCTCGTGTTGTTTACACGTTTCAGCCACCAAATCTCTTTGTGTAAAGGAGCAAAGGACAAGACGTAATGTATTGATACTCCCTACCGTACGCCAAAAAGACCTCTACGCAGATCTCATAGCTCGTCATCCAGCTGACGTTCCGCCAACGCCATGATATTACATCAGGGTCAGCTCTTCGAAAATCCATAGGCTGAGGGTGCGAATGGATATAGTTCCACATTCAAAAAGCCAATAAAGAACAACACCCCCTAAGCACAAGACTCGGTTGAGGAGTTTTATAGGATGATAGCCTGCTGTTGTGTCACCCATAGCCCATTCCGCCTTGGCCATGGTAAAGCTGAAGAAGCTTGGTGTAGAGATGGCTATTCATCACAACGGAATAGACCAGAGACCTTTTTTCAAGGCGATGATTCTCTCCAGAGAAAGAGAACCTTTCTGAAATTGGTTCGCCACTTCTCAATTTCGGGCTGTTGGAACGCGATCTATGTGTGGAGGGTCCGACAAGGGCCCGTAGCAAATGGGTAATCTGGTCACAGACTACAGGCCCGTAGCACAGGTTCTCGTAAATAAGTGGCTGCAAGATTGAGCAAGACGGGTTTTGACAGCATTGTCTCAGCGAGCGCCGAACAGACAGCTTTCAAGATCTGTCAAGCTCTCGCTCTTGGCTTCCGCGAATCCACCACTGACAATTAAATGTGGAAGTTCTCCTAGCGTGGCGAGAAGCGAATGAAGCCTGTTTGAGCTTGGCGGGCAGCAGCTACATTACACCATTGGGGCAATGCTATAGGGAATGGTTGATATTGAAACCATATCCCTTGAAGAAATAACGAGGAATTTGTCGTAATGGTTATCGTAAGTTCCCATCCAAATTCCCATCTGTCTTAAACCTCGGTGACATGACAGTTCTGTGCCTGTAGATTCAGCATAGCTCGTGCGCTATGTGTTACAGACGCACCTTCACCCCACAGAGTCTTGGCAATGATCCTGATCATGCGATGAGGAGCCGAGATTATACCAGCTCATATGGGCTGTAGACTGCGTTCGGGTATTTGATTTGAGGAGAAAGGATTTGCCCGCCGTGCCTTGTTTCGGTGCCAAGCTGGGAGTCACCAGGACGACCACGGAGGCTCCCGATCATAACACCAAGCGAGTCTGAAACGACCCTGGCGTGTCTTCTGCCAACCTGGTTGGGCCCTATTAAGTGTTGAGCAAGAGTGGCTCTATGATTATTGGTGCCTTGGCAGGTGATCGACCAGAACTTTTGTGTCATGCCGTAAGCAAGGTGTCTGGGCTCCAGCAAGACCTCTGCTCTGTGTTGTGTCAAAATGTCGTGACACGAGGGATATATGAAAATGGTTCGCTGCTCGGGCGAGTGGCGCATACCCTTAAAATCCATTGGGGATCGACATGCAAGTCGTGGTCATCGTGAAGATTTTTCCCCGAGACAGGAGATTAATCTGATGCTTGATATGCTTCTCGACTGACTGATGAGCTGAGTACGATGCAGTAATTCTTCGGAAATATGATAGGGATCGTTGCATGGAGATCGACCAGTTGCGGGTATTCACGTATGTCCGACATTGATCGGAGTCATAGACCTTTAGCTTATTCTTGCAGCCGTACGTGGAGGTTGTCTGCCATCTGTACACGTGCGCACACTCTGGGGTATGAGGCTCATTGGCTGAACACGGATTCTGAGACAAGCATGCTTGACGGCTGGAACCTCGGCGCTTGAATCAACGCGCCTGAATCAACGGAATGATCTACTGAACGATGCTCTTAAGTAGTCCGCCTGGATTGTAAGCACTGGGACAACCTTTCCAGCGAAGACTCTGTGACATTTTTGAGAGTCTGCCTGTTGGAAGTGCCGTGCGGCTCTTGATGAACTGTGCTGTCTTAGTGAAGGTGATATACCCGCCGCCGGCCACTCATGCAAGACACACAAAGATAACCACCACAGGGCCATCGTGGGTTAGGGAAAATTCGGTGCTAGTTGACCTGAGGCCTGTTTCACGGCTCTGGGGCATCGCAAATTGTGGGACTAGAGTAGAGGAGCGCCAAAAACTTGGAAGTCATCGGTCAAAGCCTAGGCATCTACCCAAACGTATCCATGACTGGGCAGCGCAAGCCGATGTAGACAAGATGGGTTGGCTCATTGCCTCGGGACGTGTTGGTGATCTAGTGTATGAATACGACTTGGACATAGCCTGTTTCTTCGTGTGACGGGCTTGAATCTCGTATTGTTTCTAAAATTAAGGGTATCTGATAGCCATGATCGGACCGGACTTGCGTCCTGCTCATCGAGGCTGCCCATAACAGGTCAGGCCTGGCAATAAGCAATCAGCTAGCGGAAAGTATGCCCCTTGGTAATATCGACAGGCGTGGGCGAGCGACTGAAGGGTTCGTGGATGTTGACTTTGGAGCAAATTGGCCGATGCGGAGGAGGCGTTCGGATTGTCATCTTGATGATGCCGCTTGTTAATGCAAAGTTCTGTGGTGGACGTCTTCCTCACGGGTCGGGCGCCTATAGAATGACCCTCGCGATACACGAATCTAGGTCTCTTTCCTCGAAAGTGATGGGTTGTTCAAGCGACTCAAAGCAAAGACGGTGGATAAATGTTGTTAAATTGGTGGTCTTAGCCATTTCATAGTCGCACGGAGTTGCAAAACGTGTCGGCTGATGGCAAACTCGTATATGGTTGTACGGAACCAAGCTAAAGACACATGGGCTGGTTTATACATCAGGAAAGGGAGGGAAATCTTCGACATCTTGGCTGTCTGCGGGTCATTGATGCTTGCCGTCGCCCAATCTAGTTGAAGCTTGGAAGGACGAGGGGCGGTAGGTGAGCTGGCGAGCCATCCGATCTTCAAAGCGTCAAAAGGAGTAAGGCACAAATGAGAATCTCAGGATGGGGGAGTGATTCGGGTGCCGTGGTATGGACGATGGTTGAAGGAGATGCGACGGTATTGATTGGGCCACAGCGATGCCAGAGGATGAGTGCCAAAGCAACATTGACCGGGAGCAGATAGTCGTTTGGCCTGGGTGGTATATTAGTGCCTTCCTGACCACGGTCGTTCCTGCCCAAGCCATCAAGTACCAGTTTGGTAGCTCTGGACAGATAATCTACCCCGAAATTACAAGCCCCTGGCGGGCGAGACATTCATTCCCCGGCATGGCACGATCGTGTCAGAGATGGTGTGAGGCTTGCGCCTCGATTCCTGATGGCGCTCGATCCTACCCACGAGTGCTGAGAAGGATCAATAATCCTCGCAATGGCCATCGTTGTGCGACTAGCAACGGGCAGGGGGTTCCTTCCAACTCGACTTGTTCGAGCTGGGACATTCCTTACCCAGAGAGCCCTCACAATCCAGGTGCCATATACCCTCCCTCGAAAAGGAGATGGAGTCACGCTCACATTGTCGGAAATCTTGTTTGTCTTGTGGTAAAGCAGTTCATATCTCGTCTAATGTCATAACGCCACGGCATCGAGCTCTCTCCCCTCTTGCCCAAGTCCTTTTTACCCTCCAGCCTTCCCTCGCTCTATGTTTTGCGTTTATAATCCCTCTCCCACATCCGTCTAGATCGTGTCGCCGTTCTCCTTGGCGAGCCTGTCATGCTCCTCGATGTCGATGGCCTCCCAGGGGTAGCAGATCCACTCGTCTCCGACGGTGCGGGCGGCCAGATAACGCCCGGCAGCGACCATGTCGTGAGGGAGAACACCCTTCTTCTGCTTATCCTTGTTCTACATGGCACAGGAAAGTCAGTATGACGAAGAGTAACGAGCATCACCGAACGAGGGGTAACACCGGGGCGACTTACGTGCAGAACAAAGATGCTGAATTCGGCCTTGGGCTGGTTTCCCCCCAGGCGCTCGCGGGCGAGCTCGACATCCTTCTCGAGCTCCTTGACGGCGTACTCGAGAGTCGTGCGGGTATCGTCGACCTCATCGACGATGAGGACGCGCTTGCCGATCAGGTTCTCCATCTCGCCCAGGGAGCTGAGGTCAAGCCACTGAGTACGGGTAACCTTAGTACCCAGAGTCTCCACCTGGCTATCGTTGCCCAGGGCCTCGTAGAGGGACAGACCGATGGCCTGGATGGGGATGTTGGGCGAGCCGGGCTTCTTGAGGAAGGATCGAAGGATACGAGCGGGAACGTAGCCACCACCGCCGATGGCAACCATCAGATGAGGCTGGAAATCGGCGAGCAGCTTCTCAGCCGACTCTTTGCACAGCTTGTGCACCTGTTTGAGCAACCCAGAGTCAGCTACGGCGAAACTTGTGCCGAGGTGGCAGGTTGGCGTGTCGCAGCTAGGTCGCACTGAGGCACTCGACAGTCTGGAGAGACTCGATCGATCCCAGACTTGCCAGGGGCGTCGCACTCACATCGTTGTACGTGACGTAGATCTTCTTGACCATCTTGGCGGTGTTTCTGTCGAGAGCAGCGCCGGCGTTGATCTGGGAGGACGATGGGTCGGGTCGCGCGGATGTTTCGAGAGGTGGCAAATGAGCAGGTTCGTGTTCGAGGACGACGTGGTACGGGGGATCGAGACCACGGGAGCAACACACGAGGGTCGGTATTTGCAAGTTGTTACCCAAGAGAGAAAGAAGAAGAAGGAAGAGAGAAAAAAAAAAGAGCGAGGTCCGCCAAGAAGGATTTTTTTTCTTGCCCTCTTCCCAAAGGGGGCAGCTGTAAGTGCAAGCCCCGCGTCGATCGTGCAGGCAGCCAGCGCCAGGCCTGAGGGCAGCCAGTAAATTCCGCTGCCCCTCCTCTCTCCACACTGAAGCCTGGCACTTTTCGATGTGCCCCTCCAATGATCTCACTCCCCCCAATTAGCGCAGCTAAGCTCGGCCATTTTCAAAATTCATGCCATCGGAATCCGCCGGTGCCTGTGGGACCTCTCTGAGCGAGATCAAGGTCTGTTTGGTATTGGCAATGCTGACCTGAAAACACACAAGGCACCATGGAGGGGTATCTGACCGCTTTGAGCCCTGGCTAGAAACATAAAAGCTCCATTTTTGGAGTCTCTGATGATGCTATATTCGTCTAGGTGTATCTGCTAGTCTATAAATCGCTGGATATCTATATATGATAAGTGCAAACAGCCAATGTGAAAATGAGGAATATGGAAACAAATTCTTAGCCACCGCTGCGCTCACGTGCATGCTTCTCTTTCAGCTTCTTCTCCATCTTCATGAACTCTCGGAAGCCAACGGGGACGCTCTGCATCAGATCGTCATCCCACAGATCTTTGGCGATCTTAGCTTCCCCAACTCTGACACCCGCGGGGTTTTGGGGAGCAGTATCCTCGGTCGCCTCCTGGCTGGCCTTGAGCCGCGCCTCTGCTGACGCCTTCTTGGCCCGCCACTCCTCGACGTCCTCCTGGTATAGCTCCCACACACAGTTGACGCAACCGCTCATGCAGCAATTGTCGGGTTCTTGAGGCTTCGGCGGTACAAGGACATCGCCTATCAGGATGGATCTGGACTTCTTGGACTCGGCGCGCGCAGCCATGTCTTCTGGGCCCGCAAGACGGGTGCCGAAGATGATCTTTGCCTTCTCTGCTGCTGTGGTCGGCGGCGGTGTTGGGGTCGGGGCGGCAGGAATTGCGCCAGAGGATGAAGCCTTCGCGGTGCCATCAGTTTGTGATTTCTCGATCGGCGGAGATCGCAGTGGCTTTTTGTCTTTCGGCAGGACCTCTGGGTCGGCCGTGTTCGGAGGTTCGTCGCGCTTTTGCTTGGTTGGATAGGACGTCCGTTGGTTTAGAATGCTCTCGTAATACGCTCCAAGGGGAGTACGCTGCGGCCATTCTTCTTGACTCCGCGTCGCAGACGTTGAAAATGACGATCGACCGAGGTTGGATGTCGGGCGCAGGAGTTGCAGTCCCCTCGGCACTGCTTTTAGAGGAAGAGCCATTTGGCTCTGGAGGAGGGCACGACAGATGATTTATGAATCCCGCTAGAAGGAAAATAAGAGAAAGCAAAATTAGAATGAGCTTGCTGGAATTGTCCAGCCGACAGGTTGTTGAGGCGAGTCGCAATGGGGGAATTGATTTCTCAGCTCGGAGAACGAACGGACGTCATAGCTGCGAGGGCCGATCTGCCGCTTCTGCGGATGACTCCCGCACGTGACACTTTCGGTCTGGTGCTGCAAAGCTGTTGTCGGTCGCAAAGTCATATTTGTATTGAGATCGTATGAGCAAACCTAGCAGAAAAGGAGATATGATTTCGCATTGATGGTATTCTTTGAATATACGGATTAGCTACATGACACCCTGCGAGGCTTCCATCTTGCTCATTCCCAATACATCATCCCGTCCATTTGACATCTGACGGGCGCCTTGATGCCCCACTTTGTACTGCACTTTCCAGAACGCGCTCCACCAATGATTTACACGGTCAAGAATTAACAATCCTCAAGTAAACAAAGCTCCAGCCGTTTCCCGCACAACTGCCCAGAAATATCAACATGGGATACTCTGAAATTTTAATATAGACCTGCATTGAGAACCGGAATGGAAGGCTCTTCGCCTAAAAGGCGGCGAACGTCGCCTCGCCTGTCCGGGCCATCTTCACCAACACGAGACGCGCCTAGCGAAGGGCTCGGATCCTCGCCGCGGCGGCAGCGACCGTCGTTCGCTTCGCCAACAAGGTCCAGCATGTCGCGTTTCAATCCCGAAATCCTCGAAAGACGACTGTCCCAATCCCCTCCGAAACGACCTCCCGTATCGCGAAATAGCCCACTCAGACAACCTCCCCAGCGCCTTAGTCTACCTCCCAGCGAACAGAGCGCCACATTCGCGCGTAAACAGTCGCCAACGAGGCCGTCTCCCGAAAACGCTCCAGGCGATGACACTGCAGCGGGGCGAGAACAAGACCAACAAGAAAGTGCTGAGCCCCCGCCACGTACAAAGGGAGTCAAGACGGGATTGGCAGCAGCACCTAGAAGATCGCTGCCCAGACCGAATCCCCGCCCATTACCACCGCCAGCTCCCGACGGAGAGGCAGACCTCAACCCGTTTCTTGGAAACACCCTTCGCCGCTCTCCGCAGACCGGCACCGCGATGCCCCCTCCCCCCGAGCCAGAATTGCCCCCTTCTGTACCCGACGCCGTTTCCTCAACCCCTCCGCGAGGCATTCATAGTAGCAGCCCGTCAAAATGGAGGGGAAGGAATAAACCCCCGAGCAGCTCCCCGCTGAAACGACCACCAACGCGCCCTGGAGAGAACGATATCGAGAATGTCAGCTTCTTCAACAAGAATTTGAAAAAGGCGGGTGTGCGTCGAGGCCAACTCGGTCAAGGAGCCGCGCTCAGGGAGAGATCGACCAACATCCGTGGGATCAAACCGCAGGACGCGAATAAGGAGAAGAAGAGGAAAAGGGATCAACTGGCAAAGGAACTCCAAGCTCTGAAGAGGGACCTGGACTTTGCTGAGAGAGAAAATGACCGCATACGGGTGATGCTCCGATCCGGTCGCAAAGTCACAGCGTCGGATGAGGATGCGGTTCTTGATCTGTTGAAACGCCATCTTGCTCCTGACGCGATCGAATCTCTCCCGTCGCAGTCAGAACTGTTGGCGAAGGCAGCTTTGGACCCCCTGGCGCTCGTGCCTATGGGAAGACCTGTCGTTGCTGTCATCCCCGACTCCGAAGAAGAGGAGGAAGCGAGTGACACCGTCCACTCCCATCGGCCGGTCGTGATGACGGCAGCTGAGGAACTGCCGTTTCTCGAGCTGTTCAGCCCATTTAGTATATCGTTCGAGTTCACTACCTTACCTCGAATAGCCGACGAGCCTCTGCGCCAGCAGTTCTCAGTACGGCTCCAGGCTCGGCAATCGCCAGCTCTGTTTAGCGCCCTTGTCAAGATCACCCTTGACGCGCTCAAGCTGGAGATTATTTCCATCGACGTGGGTGGCTTAGAGCCAGCTGCGAAACCGGAACTTGATTCGTTCCTGCGCAAGATATGCCAGGGGGAGTGCAACAGAAGTATGGAACGCAATATCGGAATTATCACTTGGGCCATGGCAGAGTGGCTACGGATCTCAGAACGAAGAGCCCAGTTCTGGTCAAAGCTACAACAGGAAACACAGTCAAAGGCTGGGATTCTCGAGATGAGCCGGGACGTGCGTGCCAAGGCTTCCAGGCAAACCAAAGGAAAAGGGTCGACAAAGGGTGGTGAGGATGACGAGCTCTCTTACGCAACTGTAGACTTGCTCCCGTTCATGGGCCTTCAGTCTTTTGACATCAAGATCCCTTCCGCGGGGTCAACAGCTTCCGTCCGCCTGAACTGGAGAGTGGAATTCGATTGGACCGGCGAAGCACAGAGCAAAGTGTCAGCCATTGTGTCCATTCCAGGTAGCTGTAAGATGATACCCATTTCAAGTTTTAGCCACATCAGCTAACATGAATTCATCAGGGCACGGCGTTGATCGCAAGGGCGCTTTCGGAAAGCTGCCATCTCTGTTTCAGGGGCTAGTTGAAGGCGGAGAGGAACCCAACGTAGCAGTGCGCAAAGTGGTCGCTCTTCTTGCCGGCAATTGAACCATCCTCTCAGCCCCCTACCTAGGTAATTGATGGCGCAGAATTCATCCAATAGGCGGGCCCTCAGAGTTGGAATCTGTACCATGCACGACGTCACGAACCATATAGTCAAACCAGAACACATTAATGCCATTGCATGATCTCTCAATGTTGTCATATCTATTGTATTTTTCCCCATTGCATTATCCCGCCTCGCTCAGTCGTACAACGGTGGTATATACCAGCCCCTTTCAATGATGTGGCGAATCAATAAATCTCCCTTATGCTTGTCCGTGAAATGCTTGGATGGTTTAGTCGACATCGACACCGAGGCTTCGGAGGTCGGCCTTGGCAAGATCGATTTCGGCCATGAGCTCCTTGTGAGCTTCGGGGACGTCGTTGAAGGTCATGACGCCGAGGCCGAGACGGAAGAGTAGTAGAGAGCCGAAGGAAATGAGGGCCCAGAAGGGGAGCTGTTGAAGAATGGCTAAGTTAGCGACAGTTGTCACGATCGGTGCCCAGTTGCCTTGGGCCATGCGCGGAAATGGATATGCGCGGAAATGGAGCGAGCCAAGCTATTTTAACAAGAGCATCTGAGTGTAGATTGACGTACCACGGGGATGACCTGCTCTTGGACGAGAGCGGGGAGAGGGATCAGCTCGAGAAAGAGGACGAGGTAAAGCTTCCCACCATAGTTAGCTATGCAGTTCCCGTAAGATCTTGGGCGTTTGGCTGGGTTTAGATGCGTACAGAGGAGGCAAGAAGTGCCAGGGAGATTGTCTGTTGTGCGCGCGTCATTTTGGCTTGAATGCAAAGCGGACAGTAAGGACAGACAGCGGAATTGGTGGCTTCTTGGGATTGAAGCTCGAACGGTGCTAGACGTGTCAGGGGTTTCGCGTGATGCAGGACGGACGCAAATGAAGAGCTGACTAAGGTGGGGGAGTGACTAAGCACAAAACGTCCATCTTATCTTATCAGCGCCTGTCTGAGTGAGCGTTGAGGAAGCATCACTACGGCAGGAGGAGAACGCTTCAACTTCTGCGTGAAACTATTCATTGAATGATATGTTCTGTTCTAAGTACATCGATAGGCGACGACCTGCTTGCAGAATATCAGGCTAATCCGCCTTCTGCAACTTGATCTCGAAATCCTTGGCTGCCGCGTTGAGCGTCTTGAGGCTCGACGCTTCTAGACTTTTGACATGGTCTTTGAGTAAGAACGGCAGAACCGAGCCCTTCCACACTACGCTGCCATCGCTCAATCGCAAATCTCTTATTACAATCCCCGCCATCAGCAGCGTGCATAGGACCAGTAACGTCGCCGCAAGGGCGAACCACTCCCATGCCACGTGGAGGCAGGTACGACTCTCCCAAGCTTCGCCCCGGACAGTCATGGGGTTTTCGGTGTACGGACCCCAGCCAAACTGGCGTATATGAGTCGTTATCCTCATACTTAGCGATTCAATGTTCTCTCTGATTGTATCTACGCTGGTAACGCGAGGGCGTAGCAAGCCAGCCATTGCGATCGAAGCTACTCCCGTGTTCAATTCGCCTTTTTCGATCTCGAAGCAGCTGGCGGTTTCCATCTGATGGCCCTGTGGCCGGCATTTCACTCGCAACGTCCTTACCAGCTCGTCATGAAGCGCGGCTAGGAAGCTTTGGACGGCGGTCATAATGCAGTCCCTTGGGGCCGTCACGTTGGCCTCACCAAACGAGACGACGGTATCATGTGGCCAGAACTTGAGATCTATAGAGACATTTTGTTTGGCACTGGCAGGCAGCTCTTCAGACGCGGAGGACATGTTTGAAGAAGTGTAGAGCGTGCCGTTCGCCCAGCATGGGACCTGGACGCTATCCAGCGTCTGCCGCCCGTCGGGGTCTGCCATATGAAGCGGCGTGGACCGCACGACCGTCTCAGAGAGAGCTCCGTTCTGGACGGTACTCGCGTAGTACTTGATGCACGGATATAGCGTGCAAGCCGCTGCGACGTAATCTGTCGGCTCGCCCCAGGCCCCGTTAAAAAGAGACAAGACTTTTGCATCAGAGAGCGGGCATGAGATGCTGCCATTAGCGAGGGTGCCGCAGTGGTCTTGCGACAAGGCCAATATCGAAAAATTGGCAGCAGAGCCGCTGGCAACATCTAGAAAGTCCTGCGGCACAACTCGACTCGCCCACTCGAGGTCGCCAACAACTGCAGCATCCAAATAGGAGACATTTGAGCCGACTGGGCCCCCGGGGCTCACCTGGAGCTTATCTGTTATTTTGCCCACGAACCTGGTCGAGTTTGAGACTGGCAGCCGGATATAGATTCCGCCCCTATCATTCCCTGCCTGCTCCCTCATGGTCGTCAGCGCCAGGTCATAGACATCTTCACAGCGACTACACATCGCGAGGCTTG